GTGCAAATATGGGGGGGGGAGGGTGACAGCCCCCCTGGGAAGCCTGTCCTATGGCATTGCCCATATCTTGCCTCAGAGGAGAGAGGATCCTAGAGGCAGGCTCCTTCTCTGTGCTCCCCCTCATCCTCATTGCTGGGGACCCATGGGGCTGGGGTGCTGTGATCCACGGGGTCCATGATGCCATTACCCATGGGGCTGGGGTCCTGTGGCCCCTGGGAGCAGGCACAGAGGTTGTCGTGCTGGGACCAGGGGCTGCTCCTCACCTATGCGGTCCAGCCGGTCCATGGCCACTGTCTCAAAGGCCCTGCGCATCATGGGATACTCCTCTAGCACCTCATTGAAATTATCTACCGACAAGGAGTAGAGGCGGCAGTAGGTGTCAGCTCGCACGCTGGCCGTCCGCCTGCCCCGCGTCAGCAGGCAGATTTCTGCAGGGAGACAGGTTTGGGTGTCAGGATGATGCAGCCATCCATCCCCTTCCCAACAGCCTCCCCAGATAATGGCAGCCGGAGCAGGGACAGGACTGCCCGGCACTCCCACACCCTGCACAGAAACAGAGCACGACTCAAGAGGAGAGACAGACCCAGGAGTTCGGACATCTATGGCCATGCCCTCAGCCAGGCACAGCCTTTTCCTCCCTCCCCAGGCCGTGGAGACATCCCTGGGCACGGCTGCTGTGGTTGCCCGGCCTGTTTCTCTCCCAAACACATGCTTGTAGCCTATGAACTGGCTCAGGTGCTCTGCTCTAAACCATCCTCCTCTCCGGCCAGAGATGGGGTGGGTGGATGCCCCCTCTGCCCAAGCCAGCCAGAATTCAGGGCTCTGACTGCTGGTCCCTCTGATTCAATCTGCTGGACAAGGTACCCCATAAGAACAAGGGTGGTGGACTTCTAAGCCCCAGAGCCCCGTGTGAGGTTGATGCCAAGCCTTTGGCACTGGGCAAGAGGGGATGGGCAGAAACATCAAGGATGCCCCGGCTCCTGCCCCCCGGCAGCTCTCGCTCCCCTCTGCTCTCCAGGTCCCCCAGCCTGGCCTCACCCCCAAAGTAGGAGCCGTCAGACAGCTTTGTCTCCTTGTTGCCCTTGGTGAGGATGCTGACCACCCCGTGCTGGATGAAGTACATCTTTTTGCCCACGGTGCCCTCGCGGATGATGAAGTCCCCAGGCTGGAAGACCTCAAAGCGCAGCTTGGTCAACATGGCTGTCACAAAGTTGGGGTCCGCATTGGCAAACAAGGGCATGTTGGCCACCAGGTTGCGGCAGTTGAAGTTGATGATCTCCTGTGGGGTGAGGAGCAGGTCAGCGGCGACATCGCCGAGCCTGACCCCAGCAAGCACCGACCCCCCACCCCCAAGTCACCAGCACTGGGGTGACTGCCCATACCTCTTTGAGCGGCTCACTGAGCTCGCCCAGGATGTTCTCCTCATCGAACATCTTGCCCTGGTAGCGGTGCTCGTAGTACTCGTGGATCCGCTGGCGCGTGTCCCCAGGCAGCTTGTGGAATGACATGTACTGCTCCACTTGCTTGTACTGTGGGGACAAGAAAGAGCCACGTGGGGCTGTGCTGAAACAAGCTGCACCACGCCAGAGGCTGG